TAAGGCCTTCTCTTACGTTGTGTTTGGTACCTGGATATGGGCACAATACATCAATTTAATTCCCCAATTAAATATTTCCTGCCCTTTCTTTTTTTTTCTGTCCCTAAGCTTTTTTTTTTTTCCTGTTGCAAGGTGGGTTTTTTTGGTTGGTTTTGCTGTTTTTGGGGTTTTTTTGCCTGTGGAGTACAGCTACTTGATGTATTAGTAGTTGGATAGAAGTTGCTCTAATGCACAGCTTCCTTTCTTCTCCTCCTAGCCCCGCAAGGATAACTGTCACCCTCACCAGCTGGTACTCTCTAGATTAAAAACAGACATCAGCTGCACAATTGCAAATTTCTCCTGAGGATACCAACAGCAAGAGAGTTGACTACAATTCTTCACACAGACACCATCTAAAACACATTAGAAATGACATCTCTCTCATCTTCTAAAGTTCTTAACACCACTCACTCTGGCCTTGCCCTCAGTATCTGTTTGCACCAACTCTTCAGGATAATCAGCTGCCTGCTACCAATTAGTCTTGATAAACTAGCAAGGATATAGCCCCACTAAATTGCTGGCAATAGCTGTAAGGATTTTAACTGCTCAAAAGCAAATTATTAACCTCTGGCTCACCAGACTCTGAGTTGGACTCATTTTCCTTTTCACACTTAGATATTTGTAAGAGAGAGAATGGCAAAGCACTGAAGGTGTATATCACTGTATTATTACCTGGAACAGATTATGAAAAAGGTGACCAGCTGGTAAATTTTGTTAGGAAAAAAAATCCATTCTCTTTTCATAGAAAATTCCATCTGCTTAATTATGTCTTTAAAACACTAGATATATTGAAACTACATTCTTTCTTCACTGTAGCATTTAAGTGGTAACAGGATGGCTTTAAGCATGGAAGGAAATGTCGGATGCCAGGTTCAGAGGTAAATTCCCAGTTCTTTTGCTGACTTTCTGGGTCATCTTAGGTAAAGCATTCTTGTGTTCCAAATGGGGACTCTTTTTTTTTTTTTTTCTCACTTTGTTTCTTGTATCACTGATATTTTTGATATGGTTTTGGGGATTTTTTTAAAGGTATATTTCTGTAAGATGGAAAGTCAGTGAAGGAGAGGTGTAGGTGCTGCTTTAACAATGCCAGAATGCTACTCATCATTTAATCCTCTAATGAAGCAAGATGCAAGGCTGTGCTTCCCAGTGTTTTCCCAGTAAAAGAAGAAATTCATCCTTCTTAAGTTTGAACTCCTGTTTTACAGAGATGAGATATTTATATTGTTTTATAGCTCCATGTGATACCTAAAGTAATTCATGTGGGCTAAGGCTCATAGATGCTATTCTAACACAATAAAATTAAAATAGCCGTGAATAATGCCATCCATTTTACTATGCTATAAGAAAGGACATAACAAAAAAAAAAAAAATCAGACACACGAAGGCAGACAAAGAAGGGAACCAAGAATCATGTCCTAGCATGAGGGGCTGTGCTCTTCATTCACACTGATGTAAACCTGCACAGTGCTGACCCACTAGTTCACACAGATTCAGGGAACTGAAATGATTTTCTTCCATCCTGATCTTCCTGGAGCTAGAGTGCACAGCCAGTGCTGTGCTCTCATTAGACACTGTCAACTGCTGTTAATGAAAATTAGCTGGGTGAGGGGTGGGGAAGCTGCTGCCCAGACTGTTGTTCGGCAGGGATTTCCAGTAAAGCTGCCTGCAATACTGATCCTCAGCTGACTGTTAAGGTCTGTTTTGGGTCAACAGGATATAGATAAATCAGCCTGACAGCAATATAGTTGAGTTTGTCTCCTTTCAGCATCTTGAAATGGTCAGTGAGAAGATTCCTAGCTTTCCTTCTTGGAGTTATTTAAAATAATCACCCTGCATGTTCTGTATATCTGTACAAGACCTAAGGTCTAGAGAAATTAGCATCAAGCAGTACCCATATTTAAGGAAATACTTATCTATTCAAAACCCAAGCAACACAAGGGGAAAGATAATTTTTCATGTCTGCCTAATAATTTAAGAAAACCAACAATGAAATATAGCTTATAAAATATATACTCCCTTACAATAATTTAATAAACTGTGCTGTCCTCTCATAAAGAATCCGGATGGTTGCTGTGGAGACAAAGATTATCCTTGCTGCTTCTTGATTCTGTCATTTTTCTAAACATGCATTCGTAATATTTAGTATTTATTAACAATGTGTCACATTGATAGAGATAAATTACATGCTTTAAACTGGCCATGTAAGTCTTCTATGATATTACAACCACTTTGTCAACTCAGCAATAAGATATGATGTGATTACTAGAAAATTAAAGCTATTTGTCATAAAAGATGAAGCAGAAAGTATCAGAACTCTCATAAAACAACAAAAAGAATTCTCCAATAGTCTAATGTGCTTCTTGATTTTATACTTTGAAGTTAGCAAATAGTTAATATTTTCCGTTTTGTCAATTGATCCAGTTTAGCTTATATTGAGACTAGATTTATTGTACTGGGAAAATTTCGGATGAAATGTATGAGAATTCATGTGATCCAGGCTGCAATTTTTTATGATGGCTCAGACTGTAATGGGAAGTTTGTGAAGAGACCTTAAAGATGGGACATTTTGCAGTATATAAAAGCATATATGCACACACTACTGTGTGTTAAGATGTACTTCACTTCTAGGAATTCGTGTATGTTTCTTTGTGATGTGTGGTATCCAAATTGCAGCAGAAAATTAGATGAGATTCTCAGTGTGGCTGTCTAAAAATGTATCTTTTGGTGCACCTTACTGGAATATTTGTTTGAAGCAAGCTTCACTGCTGAAACAGTGTGAGCCTGATTTAAATAACCAGCTCTAGAGTCATTGCTCCATACATATCATATTTTACAGTCAAACTAGCAGTAAATTCCCTAAGTCAAAATAGGCCTGTTTTCTGGTGTGAGACACATAATATATGGTAGAAATGCAGCAAAGCTGAGACATTTTAAAACAAGCAAGGAATACGTGTCTGTGTAAGTGACTCTGCCTGAAGAATAGGATTTATTCATATTCATCTCTGTGTGTAGGGTGACCTCTTGAATTGGGTGAGATATGTCTCCACTGTATGTTGCAATGCAGAAGAAGTGACTCAGCTTTCTTTAAGTCCCCTGAGCCAGTGTTTGGAGGCAGTCTGGAGCAGTGGCATGGAAAAGTGCTCAGATGTGCCCGGAATTAGGGAGTAATCTTCCATCAGTTCCTGTCTTGCACCATTCCTACCACTTTTTCTGTCTAACCTAGACCATGTAGCTATTTAAGCAAAACAAGTGGGAAAAGTTTGAAAATCCAGCAACAGGATTCTCTCAGTCAATAGAAATAAAATACCCTTGCATATTCAAAAGAAAAATAATCCAGGTTCGGCTGAAATACAATAAATCAGTGAAGTATATTTCTTCCTATTCTCACCCTTTGAGGTTTATAGAACAATAAATGAACTGTGCACCCAGGCTGAAAAGAGGAAGATGAAAACCGAATAAAAACTCCCTTTAGCCTAATGACATCATATAATTAGCTTAGTTATGTTTCCATACAGTAGTGGCAAACAGTGATGTGTTTTACCCTCTGTTACTCTTTATCTCAGTGAAATAATATTCTATCTGGAGACAACATAGCTTGGTGCCATAGAATTGTTATGTTATTGTTATGTTTTTGCAAACCACACACAATAATCATTTCAGGTACCAAACACTATACAGTAAAAACATTCTGCATTATCTTCAAATACTTATGTAAATATCTAGGCAGAGAAAATTCAGTTTCCTACTGGATTTCTTTGGCAATGTATATGCTGACAAAATAACTAAGGTTGTAAGTGAAATATTTCAGTTGTCTTCAAGAGACATTAGAGTAGATTCTTAGACTTGAGATGCAAAATGTGTAACTTTTCCTCTGTTGGATTAATTTTGGGGTCAGTGTACTTGTTATTTAAACCCAGTAGACCACAGGTAACACTGAAATACAAGAAGGCATCTCCCACAGAGTCTAGTGAGATTTGCATTTGTTTTTGTCTAAAACAAATTTCACACAGTAGTTTAGAGAGGTTTCCTACTGCAGGAAATATGTGCAAAATATGATAAACCAGGCACTCTGTATAGTTTAATGGGTTTATTTCACAGCTATAATAAACGCCCTTTAAATTTCTACAGCTGTGTGCAAAGAGGGCTACGCACATTTGTTTTAATTCTGGTTTTCTTTTTTAAAAATTCAACATTTTACCTTTTTTATATAATATCCTGGTTTTGACCCAGTAGACAGGACAGTAGAAAAAAAGATTTATATGCAGTATAGCAGTAATTTAATATCAATATTATAGCTGAAAAATTTTGTTCAAATGGAATGACATAACAAGGGCAGATAAATACTGTACTCCTTCCTCCTGTTCTCAGTTTTTGGTGTACAGTAGGATCAAAATGAGTAATTCCCTGAGACAACAATCCCCAACCCGGGAACTTTTATCTCTGTAGTTTGCACAGAGCATTGAGTCTACCTTTTATTGTGTGTTGGAGATACTAATGCAGTATGTGAGCTTTAAAAATTTTAGAAAATGTAGTAAAAAGAACTTTCCAAAGGTAATTTCTAAAACATAAAATACTAATCTTGGTAAACAACTCAAGATAAATACAAAAAATGTTTAGTAAATAATATTTTTCTGAATCATGACCAACACGTGTTACTGTATAGCTATTACAGGTCAGCAAAACTTATTCTTGCCTTTAAAATTATCTGTATGGCTCAATTAAAAGCAGATTAATTATTAAAGGCACTTAATATTGTGATTTTTAACTATATATATTGTCTGGGTATATATATAAAATTGAACTATATTGTATATAACTGATTATGTAGGTGACAAAGCTGTGGTGCAGCCATATTATTTTAAACACTTTTTAATTTTATGTTTTTAATTTGAGAATGCATCTGATATTTTTCTGTGTGAAAATTATTCTAATATTGATAAATGTGTTGCAATTTTTTTCAGAAATTCAAAAACAGAAAACTGAGAGACCTGAAAAACGAACACCAGCTAAGGGTAAACTGGATTTTTTGTTTGTTTGCCCACATATATTTGTGTAACATACAGTGTCTTTGTTAATTACATAATTTTTATTTGCTAACTTGGTTAACTACTGCTGTTGTATCATATAAGCATTCAAAGATCAGTTGGCACAGACTGCAAATGATCAAAAATTCATGTATACCTTAGCATTAACAAAAAAATTGTAATTTTATGCTTGTGTAGCTAGATTGAAAATGCACATTCATAATGAGATTCTCCTGCCCAAACTTTTCCAGAAATTTTTTTCCTTGCAAAGTTGCAAGAAAGTTCAGTGTTGATGAACTTCCTCTGGTGCAAAAGGCATGAAGTGTGTTGGGCAAGGAAAAAAGCAAATTTATAGGCCAGTGGGTGCCATCCATGTTAGGAAATCAGAGATAAGAAAAACCCACATTTTAAGAACCTGCTCTTTTCCAGACTGTTTAATCTCCTATAACTGGCAGTTTCCAAAAATCCACAGAGGAACTGGTTTGGACTGGTTTCCAGAGGTCATATAAACAGAGGTGTTTCCTGGGATCTCTGAACGTTTTTTGCCTAGCAGAGCTCTTCTGTAAAGGCTAGGCCACATAAAACTTGATGAGCATCCCTCTAACACACCAGTGCTCAGCTTGATAGTGGCAGGAGGAAGCAAGAAGAAGGCTTATTAAAAAGATTGTGTATACACATACACCCACCTTCATGCAATTATATTAATTTCTATATGTATTCTTAGTGTGATAGTATATTACACCTCTGTAAAATGTTTTTATAGTACTTTTTACCTCCAGTTCTGTGCTAATCAGGGTCATCTGGACTGCCTAGGACTGTTTCCCAACTATTTAATAAATCATGTTTTATCAAAATGAATTTTTTAGCATACCAGTGGGCAAGCCAGGCAATTATGAACTCAGATCCATTAGCAAGGTTCCCTGTTAAAGTATTTTCAAGCAAAGTAATCTAAAAACACAAATGATGTTGCAATCTTGACCAAAACAGCCTCTTGTGTACCATTTCATCAATACAAAAGTGCATTTCTTTACACAGAACAATATTAACACTGCAGGAATTATTACAAAGAAATTTTAAGATGCCAGCAAAAAAAAGTGTTCAGGTGTTATTAGCTAAGTCCTATTATTCATGTGCCTGATAATGCAGTCTCTAGTTACACAATCAGTTGCTGAAGCACAAAACAATTTTTTTCTTCTATATTTTGTTTTCATGTTTAATTCCAACAATATGACTTGTATATAGGAGGAACAATTACAAGAAAACATTCTGTCTGGCCTCTGTCTACAGTGTGATAAAGGCATGAATCCTTAGGGAATTTTACTGTACCTTCTAAAGTACCTTCAGGAAATATGTACAAACAGTCTTTTATTGTTTTTTAATAGGAAAAATCCAGAAATAAAATGAATATTTGCAATAGCAGAAAATGGGAAAAACATTTCTGTCTTCTATCCAACATGTGGGAACACTGGAGTTTTAAAAGTAATTTAATTATATTTTTTGAGTAGTCAAATCCTCTGAGTACAAGTCCCACAATTTACAAGGGAGTTCAATCTATAAGCCTCATTTTTGAAAGATTGAACTGAAATATGAAGAACACTTTTAATGAATAAAAATCCCAGATGGAAGTGGCTGAAATTAAAAGATTCAAAAAGTACTGAGAGCCAGACAAACTGGTGCCCTAAAATTTGCTTTTAATTAAGTATTTTGATAAACTTCTATGTATTGTTATAAGCAATAATGTCTATTTCAATTATTGTAGCAGATTTAAACCTTGAAAGAAGAATACTCTGAGAAATAATTTCACAAAGACATTGGTCATGCTTAAGAGCCCTGAAATCAAATTATTTCATGAAAACATGTACACATAAGCACAAATTCACTACAAAGGAGGATCTTTCCAATTTGGTATTTGAGGTATTAATGATTTCACAAGCGCAGTGGCACCTGGACTGCATGACCAGGAGCTTGATCAGCCAGCAGAGGCACAAGGGATTGATTATCTTCGTGTATACAACTCTCCTGAGCATATAGATATTGTGTTCTAGATAGATTTGGCAGGTCTCTGAGCTGCTGCTGGAGCCTGTTTAAGAAATAGGTGATATAATTGTTATTACTATTACTTACCAATAAGAGTTAATGACACGTTGTTTTGGCAAAAAGTAAGAACAATAAAAATAGAGAGAGAAAAGTAAATGTAAGCACAGAAGTTCTGTCTAATGGAAGTCCAATGACAATTTCTGATTTTATGGAAAACTGATCTTACCAGTAAAATGAATTGTCCTGCATTTCTGGCAAATAGTTCTAATTAAGACAGGCACTGCGAAGGAATGGGAAAAGATTGATTTACTGTGTGACTTTTCCCAAAATCACTTCACTAATGCGTTGCTGATGGAGTGAGGTATGGAAGAAAACAATATAATGATGGCTCATTTGTTGTAGCTGGGAGACAAAGTATTTGAGACAGCTAAACAGATAAATAGATCTAGATCATACAAATCCTAGTATGATAGAAACCCACATAATTTCGCCCACTTAATAAATTAAAAGGCATATTTAATTCACAGACAAATCTGTCTAGTCTGATTACTCAAGGTTCAGCTACAGCTATGCCTGAATCCTCTTTAAACTGGAGAACATGGTACAGATGGCAGCATAACTGTAGTTTCCTTAAGTTATGGATTTAGATCTGGGAGTTTATGCCCCTCTCTAGACCAACCCCTTTTTTTTTCCAGTGTTCCTTCAAGAACACAGTTTTAGCCGTCTAAAGTTGCTTTACTACCAAATGAAAGCATCTACACAGAGATTTAATGCTCTCTGACTAAAGCACTCTAACTTCATTGTATCAGTTCATTTATCTTAACTTTCCTGAGAGTGCTGCTCTGTAGACAAGCACTTAGTCCATCAGCTGGGGCGAGCAATCTCTGCTTCATGCTTACTGCACTCATCACCTGGCCTTGTACTGAGCAGCACAATTAAGACTTACTCTGCTGGAAACTATTTTTGCTTCTCTTAGGTGTGGAAGTAGTGTCTTACTACATCTCTTCTTTTTGCACTTTCGGTTTTGGAGTGTGGAATGTCTTTGTTGGAGAACTTTATCGAAAAAAACCCTAAATCACATCCCCCTTCACTGTGATTCAATTTGATTCAAATAAAATCTGTGATGATGATTGAAATTAGGAAAATCCTCTCACATATATGTGATGCTCCTTATTTTTATTTTTCTGTGAAGTAGATAGTAATATTAGGTTTGGAATATATTGCTAAATTACCTTAAAATTTTCCATTATAACCTTCTATTTTAGATTATTTATAAATTTATCACACTCCAGTCTCTTAGGATGAGATTTCCCAGGTTCATCTTTTTGCCTCAGGCTGAATTTTCATTCAAAGACATGCAAAAATGTTTCAGCAATTTCCAAAATCTAGGTTAGTGAAAATTAGGTTGGGGTGTTATATTTTTTTCCAATGCTAATAACACTTCATTCTGAGCTTGTGACTTTTTGGTATTTGCATGGAAGTCCAAGAAAATCTCTTTTAATATGTGGAAAAATTTTAGCTTCCATAATTGCCATATATCTACTTGGTTTTTAAATCTAATTATTTTTTCTTGTGGATGTCACCAGCATCCTAGTAGCAAAAGTAACAAAAGAGGCGATCTTTTAATTACAAAATGTGTCATAAAGCTAATAAAATTATTGAATTCAAACTGAATGAACAGTTTTAGCTCCGACATTTTTCAGCTGAAGAGTATATAAGTAGCCTTAAAAACATTTTTATATGACTTTTTTTTTTTTTTTTTAATTTTAATATGGAAAAGAAAATCCAATCAACTCTAATTTGTTTCACAGAAATATAGCAGTATGGCCAGCCTGGCTAATTCTAAAATTGAATGCTTGCACCTAGAACTGTGGGCTTGAGAAAGGGCATGTATTAAGCCCTTGACAAAGAAAAAGATATCCAAGTCACAAAATATGGAAAAGATCTGTAGACAGTGATGTATTTTCTATGACAGAGCTTTTATGACTACATATGAACATGAAAACATTTCAGGGGAGAGTTAATATGCTAAGAAATATCAGATTTAAATTTGTCAGATCAAAAGCTTCCATAGATTTTGTTGGTCTTGTGATTGAAGAGTCAAAAATGGCCAATGATCACAGCCCTGAAACATGAACACTTTAATTTTTGGCAGCACCTGCCCTTCCCAAATAAGGGAAGCCATAGCTCTGACAGTGCCCTTAAGAGGTAATGATAAACATTACAATCTGAGATTAGCAACCTCTGAGGCTATGGGGATATCAGCACACAGGATAAGGCTCTCAAACTAACCAGAGATCACCTTCAGCCTATAATTGGGAAGAGAAAAATAGCTTATGCTTATGCCAGCCTGGTCTCTGCTTATCCACATTCCAGGCTCCCTGCCCAGATACATCAAGTTACTTTTCTTTCTCAAGAAGGGGCCAGCTGATCTCTTCTTCATTTTTAAACTGTAGTCTACACAAATATTAGTGTTTCCTTGCATTTTTGCTGTTTGCATTATTTTGAGGATGTGAAACAAATTGAAATTTGTTTCTCCTGTCCACTTTCAGGTCTACTGACATTCAATTCAGCTAGTGTTGTTCAAGGCTCATTTTATGGGTTTGTTGTGTGCATATGAGTTTTGGTGGGGGGGTTTTCGGTTGTTTGTTTTCTTTTGGAGTTTTTTTGGTTTGTTTTCCTGTTGTTGTGTGGTTTTTTCCTCAAATCATAAAATAAGGGAATCCTATGGAAAAACGACAATGAATTTTTTAAAACCCACAATCATTTCTTACACAAGTAAGATGTCTTGTGGATAAAAACAAGCTTTCTGATTATCAGTCTGTTCTGCATAGTTCAGTGGTATTTTTTGGCAGAGAGACTACAAGAGCTTTTGTCTGAATGTGCAGAAGCTCATGTTTCACTCACACTGACCATCACGGAGCCATTGTTTGCAAAACTGTGCAGCCAAAACTGACAAAAGTGTTTAGATAGAGCCAGCATCTGCTAACACAGA